ACTTGCTGTGTGACCTTGGGCAAGTCATGTCACCTCTTTTGGCCTCAGTTTCCTTACCTGTAAAATGAAGGGGTTTGACCAGATTGATCTCAAAGGTCCCTTTCAACTCTAGCATCCTATGGTTTCAATTATCCTGTGAATCAAACATTCAGTGATTCTAATTTTTTTGGCCAACAAATATTTCCTGTAATTTTTTTTAATCAGGCAGTTAGTCATATCTACTAGATCATTGTTTTCTAAATAAGAAAATCGAGTTCTCTGAGATACTGCTTTGATTCACTCTTTAGATGATAGATCCAATGCTGCTTGGCCAAAGGACTAAGAGACCGGGGATTAGAAGGAAATTGAGTCCCAGACAGGACTTAAGGTGACTTAGAATCAGGGGTAGTGAGTGTAGTGGAAAGGGCACCAAATCTGAAGTCTGAAAATCTGGATTAGGATTCTCATTCTGCTTCTCAGCATTTCTGTGGCCAGAGGCAAATCACTTCACCTCTTTGGGACTCAGTTTCCTTATCTGTAAAATAAGGCTTAGGATAGATTATCTTTAAGTCCCTTTCCTGAACTACAGCTCTGAGACCCACAAAACCTTAGGAAGGGAAAGGATCTCTGAGGTCATCTAAGTGAACCTACACTTGAACAACAATGGATGCTCAGCTGTTGCTTGAATACCTCCAGTGGCAGGAAATTCACCTCTCGGGACAGCCCTTTCTGTTTATAAGAAGCTCTAAATGTTAGGAAATTCCTTCTTATATTTAGCCCAAATCTGCCTCTTTGAAACTTACTCTCATTGATTTTAGCTCTTCTCTCAGAGGACAAAGTAAACCTTATCTTTCCACATGACAGCCCTCCAGAGAGTGTAAAGATTGAGATCGTGATTCCTCCCAAGTCTTCTTTCCTCCATGCTAAACAACTCCAGTTCCCTAAACCAATACTAATGGGACACGGTCCCCATAATGGTGGCCTACCATTACTGTAGGTAGATTGCAAAAATCTCTCCCAAAATGTTGTGACCAGAACTCAAAAACAATCACAAAGATGGAGTCTGATCAAGATATATTTAGACAACCATCTACCTTATCCAGGATGGAGAAAAACTCCTAAGTTTCTATCACCTATATTTATCAAGACTCTCTACTTCCATATATGAAATTTGTCAGTTCAACAACCATTGTAGTTTTTTTCTCTACTGACTGTCTCCTGTCAGATCTCTTCCATCTTATATTTTGCATTTCATTTCATTAGATTTGCAAGATTTTTTTTAAATCATAGCTTTGTTGTCCACTTTAGGCTTTCCCTGACAGTTTTGTGTCATCTACAAATTTGATAAGTAGTCTGTTTGTGCCTTAATCAAAGTCACTGATAAAAATGGCGAACAATAGAATAAGGATGAGAATGGGGCACTGGGGAACTCCATTAGAGACTTCTTTTCAGGTTTATATCAGGTCATTAGTCTATACTTTGGGTTTGGGGATTCAACTAGCTGTGTTATCATAAAATCCATAATTCTCTATCTTTTCTATGAGATATGAGACTACCTCAAATGATCTGTGGAAATATACAAGTTTACCAATCTCCTAGATTACAAATCCGCATGTTAAAAATGTTCATAAAACCATTTTATTGACTCTAATTTTGATTTTTGAAGAATATGTTCTTTATAAGAAAAACAACAAAAATGCCTTTGCTCATGAGTGACTCATTGTTTATAGGCTTTTACAATTTCCTGCTTTACTTCACGGATGAATACATTAAGTATAAATGCACTATAGGTCATTCTATAATATCCTCTAACTCAGTGAATGCTTTGTTCTGTGTATGGAGCATTCAAGTAACACATGAATAATTCCTTCAACAAAGAGCACCACCACCACACCTATGCTTCAGAGATCAACTGCTTTGGAGGTAAGTCATAATTACAGTATTTTTTATTTCTTCGGTAAAATGAAATGTTCTATTCAAATTTATTTTACTATAAAGTCTTTTACTGGATTTATTACATTTTTTTTCATTGATGAGGATTAATGGCCTATTACCATTTTATATTAGTCAGAAGAAATTACATAAAAAGTAATTGTATTTTAGAGTTCTGTTCACAAATTTTACCTGTTTCTGATGTACTGAATGCTTTAACAAATAGAAGAATATATAATATTTCTCTAATCTGTCACTGTAGTAATCCTGCTAAAATGGATATGAGGCCTGTCTGAAATGATTTGATTATATGAACTGACATTGGATCACAGTGATCACCTCTTTTTTCCCTAAGCATTTATAATCTGTTTAATAAACAAGGAAACCAGTCATCAGCATCACAGTCATTAGCCTACACTGCAGAATCTATATTGTGACATTCTCTTTCAAAACTGGGACCATAGTTGCCCATCTTCTGTCAGAACTACCTCTTCCTTTTTCCCACTTCCATAATGATCACCAATAGTAATTGAATGATCCCACAGGCAGGGCCAGTACTAGAATGATTAAATTGTGACCATGTGATGCAAGAACTTCCTTGCATCCTTAAAAGAATAACATAAAGTACAATCCAGGAAAGAGAAATTGTAATTACTCTGTTTTAGAATCCGGAGCTTATCAGGAAAAAGAACGTTGTTTGTAAATTTTAAAAAAAACCACAACTATATAGGTCTTCTTGAAAGTATCCTTATTAGTAGAAACTCTGTTTTTTAACTCTTATGGTCAGAATTTAGTATTACCATAATTATTTAAAAGTTCTTCTGAAATTTTTGTGGCTATCATGGCTTTTTTGAATGAAGTTTATGCTACCATCCTCTTCAAAGTACCATAATATTTTTTAAAGGAAGTGATATTAGGAATTTCAAGAGTAGAATTAGAACTCTTAACCCAAGAGGTCAACTGTCTCAGGTTCTGCAGAACTCACCTGAGCAAAGGAGTCAACACATGAGGGGCCTCCAGTGAAGTAACCCTGAAGCTTACAGCTGCCATCTATAGAACTGAAAGAAGGAGCTAGCACTATATCTAATATGGCTCAAGCATTTGGGCTTTATTGACTGGTTTCAAAATTCCACTAGAAGAAAAGACGCTCAATAGTCAAAGAAGCTCTGGAGTAGTCCCATGTGAGACAAGATATCAATCAGAGACACAGAACCAATGGAGAAATCCAATTTAATGCAAAGCAAAGCAATGCAATTGAACAAGTATTTAAGTGGCTTCTACCTACACAATTGGGTGTTGGGGATACAATACTAAAACAAAACCAGACACTATCCTCAAAGAGCTTACATTCTACTAAGGGACAGAACAGGTAAACAGCTCATTAAATATAAGATTATTATTAGAAGATAGTAAGGCATACATGTGGGATAAGAGGTTACCATCTCCAAATTAGACACAGTTGGAAAATAATGCCTTCTAACTCCCTAGTTACCTACAGCTCTAGGAACAAATGCAAATTTGGGAGAAGCAAGTCCAGCAGCAGAGAGAAAGACAGTTCCCTTGAGAGGCCAGCACTACCCATGATGCATTTCCTAGCTTTTTTTTTTGTTAAAAAACAAGCAATATTTCTGACTGTTGACCTTTATCCAGTCCCTTGCCAGGAGCTAGATGAAGTGCTTCTCACTATCATCAGTGGGACACTGTTGACTGAAGCATTATCAGCTTACTGTTGGCATTGTACAACCTCTCAAACTCATTTTTCTCCAAGTGGTCTCAGAGATCCCATCTGTGGAAACCTGCCCATTTGTATACAGGCACAAGGGTCTTGTTCAGGAGTGGAGAACCAGGAGTGATTTTAACCACCTTGAGAAAAGCGGAATGAAAAGACCTCTTTCCCAGTGGAAATGAGTTGTTGACAGCTTCCTATCTTTCTAAGTCAGGCTCCTAACGTTCTTAGCAACTGAATGTCTCCTAAGTATCTTCTAATAAGTTCAGTGTTCAGTTTATTCTACTTAGTTCTAGTCAAGGGCCACTTGACATTTGTATCACAATGCTCTTTCAGAGGATGCCAACACAAACTCTTCTGTGAATAGCATTAAAGAGTTCTAAACACCTAGGTAGGCCACATCTAGATGTTTTACAGACTGGTATACCTATCTATAAATGGGCAGGGCCACATATGAGATGTGATGAAAAGTAATGAAATTTTAAACAGAGAAGACCAGACAAACCAGCATCCTCATGGGTTTTGCCTTTCAATGCAGTCAATATAGAAGACTCTGTATTCATTCCAATAAGATTGCCAGGCTCAAAGTATTACAGGAAGTCTTCACTAAAACTGAGTTTGCCAATCATAAATGTAAATCAGTTTCATTATGTGACAATCATACCTTAGTCTGAACCATTAACAAGATTTCTCAACATGATTCTGTACTTGAATGACTTTTGGACATTTCCCAAAATCAAATCCACCTTTGAAGGGTGAAAATTTGTCATTTTATTGTGGCCTCAAAAGGCAATTCCCATGGGGCAATTCTAAAAATTTTCTGAGCACCGACAATACCGCTCAAGAAAGTGTAAAGTTACCTGAATGTGAAGAGGACAGCACTCAAAATGGATGGCAACATTACATGTTTCCAGTCTTATTACATTACAGTTACACTTCATATGTTGCTCAGTCCAATTACAGAGAGGTCTGCCTGTCTGCCAGTGGTTGGATGAGACCTTTCCAACAGTACAAAATGAAATGTTTAATGCCATCCAAAAATGACTGAAGGGTCAAGGTGCTATAAAAGAAGGTTGATAGGGAAGTAAATGACAAGGTACTTGTGACATTTCAATGAATCATTCCGTGGGTGGCATTTGTGAGGCAGGAATAGAGCAATTATAAAACAGCTTGGTCCATTGGCTCAGAAGAGAACAAGGGGGGGAGGTAATGCCCTATGCTGAAGTACAGAGTCTCACACATTAGATGGCCAAAGCCCTTGGCAGACCTACTCAATCCATAAATCCTCTCTCCTCTATCCCTCACAACTATGGACCAACAAAACCAAAAAAAAAAAAAGATCTGGGTTGAACATAAAACCTACCTCTGGCCTCACAGGGTCTTCAATGCCCACCACACAGATGCAGGTCAAATCATTGAGGATATCATTCTCGTTTTCCCAGTCAGGCTCTGGGCTACTTGGGAAATCCCGATAAGCTACACAGATGGTTCGGAGGCCATCGCAGGCCATGGGCTCAATCACCTTCTTTACCATCTCATCTCGGTCTCGGGGTCGGAAGACTCGGGCTTCACCAGCTGCGCTGAGGATTTTGCAGCATCTGAAAGAAAAGCAGGCAATAACTCAGTTGGCTGATCAATTTGGAAGTATTGGGATAGTGGGATTAATGAGGGTTTGAATGTAAGTTACTTGAAGTCAAACATTGTCTTAGTGTTTAGCACAGTGCCTGAAATATAGTCAGTACTTAAAAAATGCCCACTCATTCTCTGGGGGATTTTAGAGAGCTCTGTTTTCCTCTACACCACGGGTAAGCCCAGCCACCTGCCTTGGTTTTTGCCATCTTTAGATGGATGCAGTAAGATCAGGTCTTTGCCACCAAAATTATGAACATAATTCAGGCTATAATTCCTCCTAGGCATGTGCTGCTCCATGACCCGGGAGCATGGTAAGAGGGGGAATGTGGTATGTTGGATAGCAAGTGGGCCTCAGAACCAGGATGGCCTGAGTTCAAGTCTCTCTTCTGACACCTAATGGCTGAGTGATTCTAAACAAGACACTTAATTGTGCCTGAGTCAACTTCTAAGACTCTAAGATGCAGAAAAGATGCCAATTTGCTTTGGTAGAGGAAAGTTTTCTCTCTGCCACTGAAATCATGAGTCCAGTCCTGATGGGTTAACAGTACTCATTTACAACATGTTTCCTTATAACAACTAACATCTACCTGTGTGACTCTGGATAAGTCACTGAGCCTCTGTGGGCCTCAGTTCATCCTTCTGTAAATGGAGGTGCATTAAGTTACCTCTGAGGTCCCTTCTAGGTCTAAATCTTTAGTCCTACAATCTTGTACCAACCACTAATTTTAAAAGAGGAAGCTTTGGCCTAGAGAAACTGTGATTGGCTAAAGCCACAAAAGTAGAAGGCAGCTAAGGTGCCCGGTTTCCTAACTTCCAATCCAGTGCTCTATCCACTACTCTACACTGTCTTCAGGGAGTGCTTCCCATATGCGATAGGCAGAAGATGCAGTGGATGGCCGCTCTCTGGGATATAACACCCACCAGAAATAAGCCACCTGCAGGACCAGCGGACACAGGTCTTGGGGATCTCAAGTCATTCCTTTGAAATGAGTCAGGCACTTTGAGAGGGGGAAAGAGGCCCAGGACAGCAGTCAAGAGACCTGTACTCTAGTTCCGGCTTTGCAACTGACTTGTTTGGTGATGTTGGGCATTTGAGAGAGGAGAAAACGGAGAGCCAGAGGAGCTGAGCAACTTGCTTCAGCCCAAATATCAAGTGAGGTACAAAGTCAGGATTTGAACCCAGGTCTTCTGACTCCCAGTGCCATATTCTTTCCACTCTTCTGTTCTTATCCATAATCACAAACAAGGTGCCACTAACAAATACCAAGAAGAAATCTTACCACACCCTCCCAAAACGCCCACCCCAAAACACCCCTATGAATCTAAAATGGAAATATAAAATATAGAGATTTTCGAGATCATCTGACCTGTGACTTTGAACACTTGGGTTTTAATATCGACTCAGTCATTAGTTTACTGGAGAACTCTGCATAAGTCACTTCCTGGGCCTCAGTTTCCCCAAGGGGGTTGGTGTAGATTACTTCTATGGTCTCTTTCTGCTCCAATGTGCTACAGATCTCTAAATCCATCAAAAGATAACTATCCTACATGATTTTGTGGCCTCGAGGCCACACATGGTCCTCTAGATCCCCAAGTGTGGCCCTTTGACAGAAAGATTCAATCAAAAGGCCATACTTGAGAACCTAGAGGGCCACAGGTTTCCCACCCCTGGTTTAACCTTTTCTTTGCCCGCCTAAAGGCTATGAGGCTAGGCTAGATCACCTCTTGGAGGTTCCTTCCAGTTCTAGAACTGGCTGTGAACAGGAGAAGTTGGCCATGAACCTTGGATACTTACTTTTTCAGGACAATCTCTGATGCCCCTTTGCTATACATGCGAAAGCTTTCATCGGGCATCTTAATCACTGTGCTCATGGACTTCCTGACGGAATTAAAGGTATACACCTTGTACAGCTTCTCCTCGGGCATTTGGCTCCTCACAGGTTCATAATCTTGCTTCAGGTCCAGGACAAACCCCAGCAAGCCACACTCAGTCTTGTTGCCCACCTGACGGGGCAGGGCACCTTCCTTCTCTGGTGGCTAAGAGAGAAGATGGCACAGTTTAGTTTCCAGCTCATCTTGTTATGGGCCCAATACTCCCCCATTAGGCCTGGGTTAGCAGAAAAATCCACTGCTGGGATTTGTGGGAAAGATACTGCTTTTTTTTTTCAGGAGAAAAAGAGAGGGGCCAGCATGGGGACCATGAAAGAAGGACCAGAAAGTAGGGCCAGAAGGCCTGAGGTATAGTATTGAGTCTGCCACTGATATAATTCAGTGACCTCGATAAAATCAAGATCTCAGTTTCCCCACCTATAATAAGAGAGGGTTGGGCTCCATGATCCTGAAGCTTCCTTCTCAAGGTCTGGCATCCTAATAAGCATGGGTGAGCTTTGTCTGCTAGGCCAAGGGGAATCACTGAGTAGGTTTGAATGGATGAGTGACATGGTCAGATTTATATTCGAGGAATATTAGTCTGGTAATAGTGTGAAGAATGGATTGACAGAAATGTGGTGGACTACTGGTGTGGAATGAGATATACATTGTCAGGCATGGCCAATGGGTTGATTGGTTTTTAACTGGACTTCTTTGTTACGAAGGAATGTTACCCCAGGCCTGGAATGATCTCCTTCCTCACTTCCACCTCTTAGAACTCCCAGCTCCCTTTAAGGCTCAATTCAAGTGACATCTTCTTCAAGATCCCCCAGTTCTTAGTACCTCCTAAACCCAAGATACTTTGTATCTGATGTACCTCTATTGATTTATTTGTGAATATCCTCTCAATAGAATGTAAGCACCTTGAGGGCAGGGTCTGGTTTTTTTTTTATTTGGATCCCTGGTACTTGGCAAAATGCCTGGCACATAGTAGAACATAATAAATACTTGCCAATTGATTGATTCTACTGTGTGTGATGAAGCACACAGTAGGGACTTAAATACTTGCCAACTGATTGATTCCATTGTGTGTGATGAGAAGGGGAAATGGAAGTCATTAGAAATTGGGAAATGTCACTGCTGTATCTTTTTTTAAGGGCAAAATAATGGTTTTTTTCTTCCTCCTGAAAAAATAATTAGTTTGAGAGAGGAAGGACCTAGAAAGGGGAAGACAAACTAGGGGCTGTTACAATAGCCTAGGCAGGTGGTAGGGAAATTAAGAAATATAAGAGACTCTGGAGAAGTAATGTAATCGGGGATTAGCTGGAGTCAAGAGAACCGGGGAACCAATTAGATGTGACAGTCAAGAAGTGACAGATAATCCCAGGAGGTTCCTCTGTCAGAAATGGGAGAGAAGAATGGGGGGGGGGGGTGGATTAACTAATTCAGTCTGGGACAAGTTGCATAGTGTGTTACTAACTTTCAGTGGAAAAGGTGGGGGAGGCGGGTAAGAAAAGGAAAGAGAGAAGAAGAAGAAAAAACCCCTTTGGTTTACAGACACCACACATCTGAGAGCACTTTAAGAGAGCGGAATTCACAGTTCCATGCCAAATTCAGAGCTATGCCACCTTACTGCTGCTTTGAGTAGTTGCTAGGCTTTTTAAATGTCCTGAATTGGGCAGCTGAGAAAGCTATTCTGCCATTATAAACAGGCTCCTCCCTTCATCACACTCCCCACTCCCCTCCCAAATCTATGGCTGAACAGAAAGAGTTATGGTAGAATTAGTAGCAGACCGGCGGGCAGGTAAGATAAAGCCGAACTCCAGATGTTTGTTTGTTTTTCATTGATGTAACTCCCAGGGGGCTTTGTGTCTCCTTCCCCTTAGTCAGCCTTTAGCCCCGAGAGAGCTCCAGGGTGAACTGTATACCAGAGCCCACCAGGGCTTTTGCACATATCCTTTCAGGAGTCATTCAAAAGGGAGGAAGAGAATGAAACTGTCCAGACAGAACCTAGTCTGACCAAACTCAGAGGTGATGAAGGTGGCTTCATACTCACTAGGCAGGAAAGGGACCTAGACTGAGAACTTCCTGCCCCTTCTTCCCAGGTCCTGGCTGATGCCTGAAATCACTTTCCCAGAAATCTAAGGGCTTCTGTCCTCAGTAAGAGGCTAGAAAGTCAGAGTGAGCTGGGGTTCAGATGCTTGAGTGCTGGGTCTAGAGTCAGAAGATATGGGTTCAAATCCTGACTCACCAATTTATTAACTATGCAACTGTGGGCACTTTAATTCATCTCCCAAGCTTCTGTGTCTCCAATTAGTCAGGCTAGATGATACTTAAGACCTCTTTTAGCTCAAAATGCTATGAATTGGGACCAACTTACACTCAATTAATAGCAAAGCCTTCTCTCAGAGTAGGATCACAAATTTAGAGGTGGAAGGGACCTTAGAGAGGGCATCCAACCCCCTCATTTTACAGAGATGAAGTGACTTGCCTGAGGTCATTCAGTTAGTTAGCCACACTGTCTAGGCTCTAACTTGGCTCCTCCAGTTTGAGATCCTGTTCTTTTTCTATTCAATCATGCTGCCTAAATGAAGACAAAGCAGGCATGCTTCCTAGTTTCACATCTGGCATTCTGTGCCTTGTGCCTCAAAAGGACCAACATTGCCTGCAAGAAAAACCAGTCTGGAAACAGACATCATTTCTGGTATTCTGAAATACACAAGAGAAGCATCTCTCATATACATATACATACATACATACATACATATATATACACATATATAGATTTTTATATATGTGTGTATATATCTGTATGCATGCATGTGTATACATGTATATGTATATATGTGTATATATAGCAGTTAACCTCTTTTTTTCCTCAGTCTAAACACAAATGACTTCCTTCATATTTTCATGATGAAAGAGAAAGACAACAAAAAGCTCACATAATGAAAAACACTCAATTGCTTATTTGCCCATCAGAACAGGGACGGGCTAATAAAACATCAGCCTCTTTATTCTATCATCCTTCATGAAATACTTTGCTTTTCTTTTGAAAAGGATTAAGGCAAGAAAAAAGAAATAGATTCTCCAACTTAAGATCCTCAGAGAGTCTGCTCTGACCCTCACTCTCAAATCTGGGAAATAGTCACTTCCCCTCCCTGAAGATGATGGATGTTTCTAGATCTTCCAATTTAAGTCAAGTGCCCAGATCAGGTATGTCTTCATGCCTCTTCAAGTTCTGCTTCTCACTTCCCCCTGACTCTGTGGACTTTCTCCAGCATGCTCACCAGTGAGTACCTTGTCCCTACCTCTTCCCTCAAAAGCTTCCTATTATCTGTTGTTTTCCCCTGTTAGAATGTAAGCTTCTTAAGGGCAGGGGCTGTCTTTCTTTCTGTTTCATCTGTGAAATGAGGGGATTGGGCTAGATGCTCTCTAAGGTCCTTTCCACCTCTAAATTTGTGATCCTACTCTGACAGAAAGCTTTCTGCTTGTATTTGTATCCCCAAGACTTGGCACCATGCCTAGCACACAGTAAGCACTTAATAAATGCTTGTTGGCTTTACCAGGCAGCATTTCAGAATTTCCTAGACAGTAACATGTCCAACATTGAAGACAAGAAGAGACTAGTCACACTCTTTAGCATATCTGCTGAGTTATATCAAGTATCATTCTGAAAGATGGTGGACAGAGTAAGGGATTGGGAAGTCAGAAGACCTGAGTTTGAATTCTTGACTCTGCCATTGACTTCATGTGTGATCTTACTTGTCAGGTCTATGGTGAACACACTTCAGCTAATCAGTGTGAATGACAAAGGAGTGTACTAGCAAACAGAATTTTCCAGCTAACTGAAGACTGAGCCATCATGCTCCACAATCCCCCATAATGACCATGTAATGGTGTGATGTTCATTAACTTAATCTTCAACTTTCACATCACAAGGTTTTGCTGAATTTGCTCTTGATCCCGTTGAGAGCTAGGACTACAGATTCCCCATTCATGCTCTGTGACCCTTGACTTCTGCATTTAACAGCACTGAGCACAGTGTCTGGCACATAGTAGGCACTTAACAAAAGTTTAATGATTGATTGACTAATAAGGGTAAATTATTTCACTATCTAAAGTTTTGTTTAAAAAAAATTAATGTGGATCTTCTGGGGGCTCCCAGTGCCAGAACCACAACTAGCGACTTCGATAAACTGAGTAAATAAGGAAACCATTTAAAATGTGTCCTGGGAGCCCAAGAGGCCACTGGCATGTGTGTGTGTGTGTGTGTGTGTGTGTATGTGTATATCTATAGCAGGGTAGAATCAAGAAGCTTGAGCCAGCCTAGGGAGGGCTCACCTGGGGTATGTGGGAGTTCCTTATTTCAACTAATCACTCTTGCCAGTTGGGTGCCAAAGTCAGTTATTTCTATGTTGCTACAATATTGCAAGTGATCATCCCCACCCCCCAAATATCAACACTCCAGGACAAAGTGCTGATTGCTCCACTCCAGAAGTGGCTCTTCCCATCACTGAACAGGCCATTCATAAATCAGACATCGTGACACAAAGGCCAGACAAGCCACAAATGTGGATTTTCCATTTAAATGGAAAATCATAAATTTAATGTAAATGGAAATTTAAATTCCAATTTAATTTCCAATTTAAATGGAAATCGTAAAGACATTGGGTACCTTAAATGAAATTGTAAGGGACAAGTGAACATCTTTGAGAAGATTTTCAAACCATCCTATAAACAACTAATATCTACATAGCACTTCAAAGTTTGCAAAGACCTCACACATATTATTTCATTCATTCTTCACAACAGCCCTGGGAGGTTGATGCTTTTATTATCCTTACTTTAAAGAATAAGAACCTTCTTGGGCTGAGAATTCAGTGACTTTCCCAGGGTTACTCATTTAGTGTATATCAGACTTGGGATTTGTACTCAGGTCTCTCCTGACTCCCAGTCCAGTGATTTTCCCACTAAGCCATACTGCCTCTCAAGAAATAGCCTAAGCATCTCTCACAGCATCGATCCCACTTCCTGGAACTGAAGTTGATGGAAATTCACAAGTGCTGAGTGCTTAATATCATGTAATGAATACAGGGAAGATGATCAGGAGACATTAATTTGCCTTTAACTTCCAAGGCACCTCTTATCAAATCTCTTCCCCTCTC